TTTGGTGAAATAATCGTAAAACATCTCTTTTTTTTTTTTACATGTCTCTACATTTTTACATAATTTATTTTGATAATTTATTACCATACAGTGGGCAGAGAAACTTCAGCCATTTGCAGAACATGGTGGCATTCACAAATTACACACTATCTCTTGTAAACGAAGCAGGCGTTGGCTTATATATATATACACATATATATTAACCCTTCTTAAAACATAAATAACACATAATTAAGTAATATATAAAACTAAAGCTTAAATACAGTACAATTATCTATCTAACTAACGTATTTCTAGGTGTGAAATGATGTTAAAGTGGCAGAGACAAAGCAGTAATAATGTTAAGAGCAGTTTGATTAGTTCTTTAAATACTTCTTGCCAATTTTAAAGTAACAGTTAAGAGAACATACTTCAAAAAGTGCTCTTTCCATTGGTTATAAACATCTAGCCCAACTAAGTATAATTGGCTAAAAAATTTCAACTCAATAGTTGAAAGTGGGCACCGCATCTGTCAAGAATTCAGAGAAATTTATTTCTCCAAATATGCCCTATGGAACATGAAAGAAGAATGTGTAAACAGAGTAATTAACCAAGATTCTTTCTATATATGGAAGGTTAGCATGAGTCAAGAACTGTTCAAACTACAAAGACAAATTTAACATTTTGTGAACTTGCGGATAACGAGAGAATAAAACAAAACTTTAAGAATTTTTCTTTAAGGTTTCTTATCAAATAAAGTAATTAAAACTTAGATAGTATAAAACTTTGAACTATAATGTAAATTTTAATGCTGATTTCATTGACAAACATTGATCATAAAATAGTTTAATTAAATATTAAATGCAACTAAGTAATCTCGTGACATTCTCAGAAAAGGGTTACCGTAAAAAATAGTTAATTTACAAACCCTCACATACATACAGTAACAATCACTTAAATTACTGCAATAATGTTATTACATTGCTTTTTTCTACAGTAGGAGCTGAGTAAAGTTGCCAGCAACTTTTAGAAAATATGTATATTAAACACCAGTTTAACTTGTGGTAGCATTAACTCTCTCTCTCAACATGGGCTAGGTCTATTTGACTGACCACGTGAGCTCTTTGTACTCGATTAAAGTCTTTATTAGATTTAATACTTCTAACTTTCAATATAGTGTGTATATCCTCATAACATTTGTCAGTCTTGCAGTTAACATTATAAGTCTTTCACATAAAAATATCATATTTTTTAGTGAAATAGTTTTAACAAACTAAAATAAAGATTTTTGCATGAATATATTTAGTATTTGTTTTGAATAGTCCATGTGCAAAGCAAATACTCATGTTAAGATTAAAAATACTTCATGTCAAAAATATCAAATTTCTTTTGTGTAATCCCTAAAATCTCCTAAATACATTTCAAACGTTGATAGAATATCCGTACACAACGTTATACAATACGTCATTTGATAGATGAAAACCTTGACTTTCTATTGATTATAGGTAATATATAATAAAACATATAAGACGACTATTAACGATTTGTGAAAGAGAGGATATGGCAGGAGGGGGTCTTATTTTCTATTCAATAGCTCTGTAACCAAGCAAAATTGAAGGCTATAAAAATTATGGTTTGTCTGAGCAATAACGATTATATAGAGAGTATTTTGTGTTTAATTTCGTACATTTTCGAGGGGTGGTGTATAAAATAGGGATGATAACTTGCTAAGAACAATGTGTCACGTGCGTCACACTAGTGGAAATTCAAGATTTTTTTAAATATTGCATAGTAGAATTAAAACTTTAAAACTTGTAAACTATTAAAATATGGATTATTAGCTGAGCTTTTATGCTATTCTTAACATAAATAAAAAGTAGTTTAATAAAATTGTCATGTGCAGTAAAGAGTACCCGAGGTGATAGGGTTTAAACTGTTGTTGTTGTTTGTTTGTTTGTTGTTGTTTTTTTATTATTATTATTATCATCACCAAAATTAATTTATTCCAAAAAATAGTAATTTTAACCAAAATGTGGCACTCAGGTTAGTGATAGAGCTACCCAAGCTATGTTCTAAATGCGTCAGGATCAGTCAGAGATGTAAATCGTAATAACTATTATATGATTTTACTTGTATATGTACAGTTTTTGTCCCTTTATAACAAACATTTGTTCACCTACATGGAACATACATATGAAATTTTCACCTTTTTGAATGTCAATAATTTTTGTGTTAGCTTGTGTTTTGGGTATTTGAGACTTCTGATTAATTTCAAAGCAATTTCATTACAGGTTTTTTCGTGATATTACTTATTTCAACAAGTTTAGTTTTTACAGGAGCTGTGAACTCTCCAAGAACACCACAGGGTGGCTTTGTGGGTAGTGATCAAATTGTATCATCTCAAGCTCAGATATCTCCTGGCTACACAAATCAGCTAACTCCTGGAAATAATTATACACCTACGAGTGGAACCTCAGAAATATCTCGCTTTTCTTTCGATCAGCAAAGCCTACAGATGTATGGTTCAAGCTCAATAGAGAGGTAATGTTTTGATATTAAACTGAACAAGTAATGGTTAATTGTTGAGTTGTAAGATTGTATATGGTTGTGAATTAAATTTTTTGAAAGAGTTGTGCTACTTTTAAGGTCTTATACATTGAATATCCAGATTTTTAATTAACCAAACTTCAGACACAAGTATTAGAAATGAGTTTGATGCTTATTAACTCTTTTAACTCGGGATCGGTCCTTGGGACTGACCACAACCATTTTGTGCTTGTTATATTTTTCATGCTATAACTTTTAAATTAGTTAAGCGAATGTTAACGAAATTTGGCAGTTTATCAGTTCACATTACAATGCTTCCATAAGCAAAATATCTAATTTTTTTATTAAGTCTTTGAAATAATTTGAATTATAATCTACAGTTTGATACCAAACTTATTGACATAAATTCATGAAATAGTAGTTTAATAAAATTTTTGAAGTTTGAGTCAACAAACAAGATG